AAAAACATTCATATTTTTATCTAGAACGATATCAAATATTTAATGAAATATTTAATAGTTATGATTGATCATAAAGATTACATTATGGATGATTTTATTTCAATTCGATACCGTCTTATACGTTTTAATTTTAATTAAATGAAGTAATGACAATTGTACACAATTAGACTTCATGTGCTAATTGCGGATAAGTTCACCAAATGCTTTTTACTTTTTGGATTTAATTTCAATTGAGCATGATTTCATGAAATCTAATGCTATTTACTATCTCCTGTAAAAGCCATAAGGCAATTCTTATGATATTACACTTTGAATTAATTTTTGTAGGTATATATCCTACTTTATGTCTCACGTTTTATTATTTAATGACGTTAATATGAATATGCAGAGCTATTGCTAATAAATAAAAAATAATTGACATTTGAAAAAGATAAGCAAATACTAAAAAATCTTGTGATATGCATTATTTAATAAGTAAATGCTATAATTATTTAAATATATATCGCTATAATTATTTAAATATATATCGCTATAATTATTTAAATATATAATGTCGTATAACGTATGTATGTATATGCCGTTCAACCAGCAAGTATTGAACGACAGAATGTGCACACAGATAATCTAGATTAGATTGCGCTTATTATTGTGGAACGTTTATTAATGTGTTATGAAGGATAAACGATTATGAAGGATATACGTAACTAAACTTGCAATATTATGTCTTTATACTAGGTACAAATGCGTTTAATGGATGCTTTTTACTCACATGGCTTTTAACGACACGTGTTGATTTGAATTGAAGCTGATAACTTTAGTAAAATATTTTATATATTGAAGTTATACGAAAAATCAATAAGACATGACATAAGCATAAAAGCCAACGCTAGTTATTATTGTTTTTATCAATTTTACATCAAAATATAAACTCTATATGTTTCGACCAGCATCAGGTCATTTTCAGCAATATTTTAAAAAAGAAATAAACAACATTGGTAAGATCTCCTTCCTTAATTTTTCTAACATTATCTTAATGTTAACAATAATCTTAACTGCTCGCCGCAAAACTTAAACGGTGAAAACCATGTTTAGAAGCTCCTTACAAGTTCCACGAACTCCATACCATAACGCACTCCTGTGTTTCTATTCCTCGACATTTATTCAGTATACGTATTCATTCCAGTTATCGTCCACATTCCACTTTTACTGCTAATATTTCCAGTAATCTCCATAAATTCTTTATTTCAGAAAACCAATTCTCTCGTTTAATACAATAGTTGACCACGATTATCAAGAGACACGGTAGTGTCTCGCGCCAAGTGGGCGCGCAGCGCGAGACACGCGAGTGTCTTTACGCGAGTTAGCGAGTTGCGGGCATCCGAGTACCCGAAATTCTCGGTTTTTTTAATAAAGGCCACATTTTTATGGTTCTTTTCCATATTACTACGTGAGTTAGACAAAGACGAACAAAGTTGATTATTCGGTCTTTCTCTAATCCACGTAATAATATGAAAAAAAACCACAAAAACGTAGACATTACCCTACGAGGTTTGGTACACGAAAAGGGCACGAGATATCCTGTACTCTCAGGTTTCTCTCTGATAATACTTTTCAAATTTATAATAAACTTTGAATCTTGATCTCGGAATTAGTGGTTGAGGAAAGTCGATTTTTTCAACAGTCGATAAAGTCATTATTAACTTTATCTACTGTCGATTTTTCCGACAGTCAGTAAAATCAACAGTAATTTTATCGACTACAAATAATTAAGATCCCCTGTTTATTTACTGATATCAGAAATTTTTAATTTACATTTTCTCTTCTAATGTGTTTAAAAATGCCATAAAGACATAAAGATCTCGTAAGATAATCGTAAAGATGTCTTTTGGGACATAGGCATATCCAAAAAAGATCTACTAGACAGAGGTTTTTTTTAGACAATATATGTTGTTTAGGTCAAAAATTGTTTACACAAAAATTTTTTTTCTCAAAAGAACTCGCTTTCTGGGGATTCTTATTATATAATACCGCAATTTGATGACTCTATTTTTAAGATAATGTAATTGGCTGTTTATCACTTGAAAGTAGTAAAGTACAATTTTCTTAACGGAATTTAGAGTAATAATGTAATTAACAATTAATGCTGTAGTTAAAAAAAAATACCAACGTATTTTATTATTGAAATATTATCTAAGAGCTGACAACCATGGTGTAAAGAATTGCGTAGTTGCCCTGTGTCAAAAAAATTTTTTTTCCATCTAGAACACATATACATCAGATTTTATTTGATCATCATCTCTCAGAAGGAAATGGTAAACCGAGAGTATCTTTATTGCTATATAATAATCTCTTAATGCTGATAGACCATCGGATTTAGGATTAAAAACGATACATCCCATCTCAGTGGATATAAACAAAAGAAGTCATCACGTTTCTAATACAGATATTTGAGATACAATAAATCGGGAGAAAGAACAAAATTTAAGAAAGATAATTAATATTATCAATATATTTGTGGTATGTAACGTCGTATAATGTCAGGCGTCGAGTGGCTTGCCACTCGGTGCGATTAATTCCCGATCTGTGTAGATCCAGGTTCAATTCCACTTGCCTACATACATGATTTTTCGCATTTAAGGAGCCGAAAATGACTCCATATATTTAAGATGCGATTCCGTAAGTCTTTACACGCCTACCGACAACTGCCGGTTCGGATCCGGCATTAAATTTGTAGGTCCCATTATTACTAGTGGATATTATTTATCTGCATCTGAGCACAAACAGTAATTGAATATCGCAAAATTCCATTAGATCTTTCTAAGATCGTATAAAACATATTCGAACTTTTTGATTTATGAGTTTTTATTTCTTTAATTATCTAAATGCATTACATAATGATAACAAATAATGTTACACGGTATGAATTTGACTGTACTTCAAAGATACTAATTGCTTTTCTACGCTACTAATAATCTTCCAATCTACATCCTGATAAAATAGAATATCAAAATCTGGATGACTCATCATCACTTTTAATGTCTTTTTTGCATCATTCCTGCAGTTAATATACTCGTATAAGCGTAATAATAGCAAATATTATTGATGATATATTCCCAATAGATGAGAATCAAAATCACATTTTGAGATTTACCTTGTTTCGTTATTACCGTCAAGAAGAAATTTAGCACACATTGTGAATATCTTACGGCGAAGGTCTTTGAGATTTGGATTTGACAATAAACATTCCACACCAATAATATTAATAATATTATAAAGCAATCGACTGATGGTTGCCCTTATCAATGGATTCTTGTGGCTGTATAATGTTACAATATAAAATTGTTGGAGATATGTCAATTGGAGCAAAGATGGGATAGTACATTCAATCACCTAGCACTATGTTCGTTGGTCAATATACGAATACAAGTTGCAGGAGGCAAGTGTGACACCATGGAATCCAAGGCACGTTGAGCGTCATTTCGGATTCCTTTGTTCGTATGCGTGCTTTTCAAAAGCAACGTGGATGCAAGTTCATCAAATTCAGGTCTTTGAGTACACTGGACTGTCTTGTACAACTCCATCGCTACCTGGCAGGCAGTTCTAACAACATGCGGCCTCGTATTTCGCAGTAAACTGCAAAAATAATGATGTTACGTTGTAGCAAATAAAATACATGACTCCATCTCTCTAAAATTTTTAAAGTGAATATCATTCTGAAGGTAAAATCTCACTCTTAAAGATTGAAATTTGTGTTACTCTTTGTCAAGAGTGGCTTAATTTTCATTCTTTAGAATGAGATTCTATTCTCATTCTAAGAATTTAGAGAGAGGAGATACAATAGAGATGCTCCAATGACCTGCATAATGTTCGATATATACGAGGCATGTTGGAGTCCAGTAATTCCGGTTGAATTCTCGAAATGTGCATCAGCTTTGTTAAAGCTGATACACTGCTTTGCCATTGATCCTGCTTTAAGCTCTGCATGGCATGTTTCAATGCTTCATGTGGACTCGCGAATTCCTCTTGTGTTTCTACACAATCGCTCTCCAGCATAGATACATAATCCCCATAAATGACAGTAGGATTAACATCCTTCGGATATTTATTACTGAAAATACACATGTTCGAACATGAGTAATACATTCAACGTTTATTGTTATTTATATATATTTTATTTGTAATTTACTAATTTGATTTAATTCAAATAATTTGTCCCATGTTAAAATTTTAGTAAAATGCAAAGAAATTAAACATGCTCGATGTACCTGTCAGATAACGTGGGAAAACGTAGGTCACCCGAAGCCCCAGAATATACTTCGACAAATTGCGTTTTTGCAACTTGTGATGAATTTGCATTCTCATGCTGAATAGATAAGGAAGTCGTTTCCGCCGCCGCACGTGAGGCAGACTTACCTTTTATCCAAGACAGTTTTTATCACGAAATAAATACTGATATTTATAAAAGATTCCGCAATCGACTAATGTTCCTACCTGCGCCTTTACACATGGGACACATAACATATTTCTTGCATCCCGTTTGCGCCATTCTGTCACAATTTTTCTTATTGTAGTACGATATACGGGGACTATATTTTACAGAAATTCGATTACTTTAATGTTGCAGGAATTTGTCTGCTGTATCTTTGTCTCTAAACGTCCATTTTAAACACGTAAGCATCGCTTGCATAACTTTCTATAAAAGTGCTACTTTGGCATTTAGATAAATTCAAGTCGATATTAACATAAATTTGTATTAACGCCTGATATTGGCACGCAATAAATTCGATAAAAATTTCAATAAAACAAATCGATAGAGATTACGATGACGACAGTAATGCTACAAAAGATAGCGATAATTGAGCACTAAGCTAATAAGAAAAAAAATTTCTGTATTTTTTTGAAAATAATTTTCTTATGCTATATAAGAATATGTACATTATATATTATTTCTCTATACATTATATTAATAAAAAGCGATAAAGCTATAAAATATAGCCGAGTCGCATTTATCCTAATGAATAAGATAAATTGGTCCTTCAATAAACTGCAAAATAATAAAAGTTAATTCCTTTTGTCGAGAAAGTGCTTTCAATTGGCTAGTTGCAATTTTCTAGCCAAATATGGTCCGGTTCGATGACACGTGTCACGTGTCGTCTAAGTATTATATGATACACTGCTCAATTCGATTACGAACGATTGAAGGATAATTTATATCCCTCATTCTTTCCAGTTTATATCACACAGTTCCAGTGTATGGAACTTTATTCCGCACTGTATTTTAAAGTCCCAGTTTGTTTCACAAATGAAAAAATTTGACTATCTTTGTTTTTTAATGTCTCCTAAAAAGTGTATCAGTTCCGTGTATCACGACGGCGGTTTCTCTAGCGAGATATTATAATCCAAATGATCACAATGTATAGGACACTGATAATACGACACTGCACTAGCATGGCCGGATCTTCCTGATGTCATAGGCACACCTTGGGCCCATTGGTCCTGGACCGGGTCGTAAATTTCTACTATATTTAAAAACGTTGTACCATCGTATCCTCCTAAAAAAGGAATCGTACGTGTACATTATTTTTGAAATGCCTCTCTAGAAAAACAGCTTTATTATTTCGACAAAGATTGAGAGAATCGTACTTACCCATTGCATATAGTTTGCCATCAAGAATGGTGACGCTAAGAGCACTGCGGGCGATGGTGACGCTGCTCACGTTCTCCCATATGTCGTGCTCCGTGTCGTACCTTTCTACCGAATTCAATTGCGATTTCCCGTCGTATCCGCCTATAACGTATATATACTGGCCCAGACTGGCCACACCAGCTCCTGAGCGACTGCACTTCATAGGCGATACCATCGTCCATTCATCATTCTCAGGATGGTAACACTCCACTGAGCTGAGCCGGTCCTTGCCGTCGAAGCCACCGATCGCGTAGAGCAATCTATCAGGAACGTATTTTTTTACATTATATACTATAAAGATTTAATATATTATACGTGTAACTTTTAATGATTATAATGGTATATAAATACACCTTCTTAAATAAAATGAAAGGTGTATGTCTTTTATGTGACATTCAGAATATTATAGTTTGAATTAGTAATATAATTATCATACTAATGTCACGTAGCTAAATATGATTTACTTTAAAATTTAAATGTAATCATTTGTTTTCATAAGCACTATGTGATTAACATTTTTATCGTTCAATGAATATCGATGCTTTGACAAATAGTACCTATTCACTACTGCTACTCCTACGCCTAATCTCTTGATATGCATGGATTTCACACTGGTCCACGTATCTTGATCCGGGTCATAGCATTCGACACTATTGTGGTATTCAACGCCTGCGCTGCCACCCACAGCATACAACAGACCGTCCATAACGGCGACTCCGACCCTATTCCTTGGTACCGACATCGGGCTGCATGGTCGCCATTGATCCGTCATTGGATTATACCTGTCAACCCAGTCGCTGTCGTACCTGAGAAAAGTCACATGATTTTGTTAGTTATATTTCAAAGTTTTTAATGTTTGGTTTTAACGTTTGCATTTGGAGCCACCTGCGTAAAGCGGTATGTCAATTATAATTTTTCATACTATTTTTATGTGTTATCTGATAATTATATTTGTGTGATATATCGCAGCATAAATTTCCAGATTTTTTAATGCATTTCTATGTAGACCTTCATGCAAAATTAGAGTATATTTTTAGGTATTTTAAAATAAAAATAAATGTATTATCTTGATTTTAGTTATATTTTCTATTTCTTAAAAATATAACAAGGAAATAAAATTCAGTATAAATATAAAAAATGTCACATTCTAATTTTGAAGAGAATTTTCTTTAAAGAATATATAATTAGATATCTTAGTAAGATATTTAAAAATCTAAAAAAAAAACAAACTTACATGGCACTTTTTGGTACCAAAATATAGCACTTTGGTTTTTGCAAAATAGAAACAAAATCAAGGACATAATCTTTATAAAAAGTTCTCGAGTTTCAATAAAATTCCATAAGAATTCCTTTATTTCTTCAGGCAGGAAAAGTTTCTTGAGAATTTGAGTTTTTCAAGATTTTCCAGGTAATTTCCCAAACACTTCATATTACTATACTTCCGAAACATCGAACACAATCGGCGTCCAAGTGCTAACCTGCTTCCTGGTGAATTGTGTCTCCCACCGACTGCATAGAACATCCCCTTGAGAAACGCACCGCCTAAACCGGATCTGGGAACGATGAGCTTGGCGTGTTGCGTCCACGCCTTGTCATCGGCGTTGTAGCCTTCCAGAACGTCGAGCGAGTGCTTGAAGAAACCACCGGCGATGTATATTACTCGCCGCGTGTTAGGCGTACGCTCTTTCACAACCGGTTTCTTATGCAACGTCAAGTCTTTAAAGATCTGCGCCAGATACTCGCGACACGCCGGCACCTTCTTCAGCACGTCGCAATTTTTCATCTGCTCCCGCAGAAAGTTCGGCGTAAGATACTGGCAGCGTACCGCATGCAGTATGTGCTCCATCTTGGGTCGCCTCGCTTCCTCGTTATACTTAACCCACTTTAGCACGGCGTTGTAAACCTCCCTTTCCTCCTGTACATTTAACTCATCCTTTCTGATGAGCGTCACCAACTGTATGGCGGACAGTTGCAAGAACTCCTCCTCTTGGCATATCTGGTTAAAGTGCTGAACAATGAATTGATTTGCTTTATGGTACAGGTCATGGCAACCGTGCTGCTCAGCAAAGTTTGCGATGCCAATCGCGTTCGTGGGATCGAGTTGTCTTTCCAGAAAAACACTACACGCATCTATCACATTGCTAACCTGCATCAAAACACACATTTATCAAACATTAAATATCAGTAAATATCAAATCCTATATCAATATATTTATTAATCTATTTACACTCAGAAAATAACAGTCAATATTCTAATTTTCCATTCAACAATAAATGCAATATAACATATGTTATACGTACTTAACAGTTACACTGTTGAGTAGAAAATTATAACATTGATGTAATGTTACTACTAGTCTGTATTCTGTGGTCATTGATACAATTTTTTCTTTTATACAATTTTTCTTTTCTCTAAAATCATTTGTTTACGTACCTGAAACATAGTAGCTGCTGATAGCAGCGAACATACAGTAATCTCAGTAACTCTTATTTGACCAGTATACATGAAGTACATTAAGCGAGCCATTGTAGTTGGACAAACACCCTGGAGCTTTACTCTTGTCATCTCGCATTCCTTCAATCCTCCAGTAAACATTGCCTGAAATGTTAAAGCTAGTCAACATCAACTAATAATCTTCATCCATTCTAATTTCAGTGGTATACACTTTTTTGCAAGTAAAATAAGCAAACAAATTCGAAAGTCTATTTTTTAAAGATAAACTTTTTGTACTCAAAGTGAAATATATGTTTAAAACTTGGCAAAAGCAAGAAGTTCTAGTGTAGTCTATATATAGTTTAGCAATAAAAAACAATCCTGATAGCGATTCACTGGTGAAACATTAGAATATATATTGAGCCAATATCATATGTCAACAATGCTCGTTTCTATCAATGTAGATTCTCTATCTTTTTCTAGTTCCAAGCTTAGAAAAAGATAAAGAGTAAGTTGAACCGAGAGATTAAAGTTAATCTACACTGATAGAAACGGGCATAAATTATGCTACTAGGAAAATCTTGAGTTAACGCACGCAGCACTGGGTGCTTTGCATTTAGTGACACAAGCTGACACAAACATCATTCTTTCTTGACATTCAGAGACTAACAAAGATAGAACGACGCTCGTATTGGCTTGTATCACTAAATGCAAAGCACTTGATTTGCATATAACTGTCAAGCTTACCTTAAAGTAGGGACTAGCTGCTGCTAAAATAACTTTATGTGCGTGGAACAGTTCGGTACCGACTTCCAGTATCACGTCAGTCAGCATATGATGGCTGCGCATCATAAACATCATCTTCATAGTCTCCTTCAGGTAATTGGCCATGCAGAACGTCATGTCCCCGAGGTCACCCCGCTGCCGCTCCGTGTTGAGCATGCCCTCCCAATCCGTTTCCTCCCCTGACGCGAACGGGATAGCACCCGGCGACGGCGCATCGTCCCGGGCCTCTTTCTTCCGTTGACAATCTTTCTCTCCATCCATTAAAGTAGAGCTGCAAAGCGAGAATTGCGCCTTCAGATATTTACATACATTCGCGTCATCGCGCGCGCGTACGCACTTCGCTCGATTCTCCTTTCCTTCCCGGAACTCGTCAAAGTCGCGGAGCTATCACCCGTTTCCCGAGACCGCGTTTCCACCACATTCTGACGGATCGACAACAACATCGTGACAGATACTCGTTAGATCTGTTTTCTCTGCCTGAACCACTCAAGGAATATTCCAAATCAAGAGAAAGTGCCAAAATAACTTTATTTTGATGTCATGAAAATCAAAATGATATATAATTTTTCGCTGCAAAATCTGACTATTTTTAGACGTTCAGAATCTTCATCAGAATCAAAATAAAGTCCTCTTGATTTTTTATTGACTTTCGCGTGTTCCTTGGGTAGTACACTTTAGGAAACTTAAAAATGAGGCAGGTATATGTTTGATATCCAGCGAAAACGAGAGAAAGAGAGATGTAAGTGGTGCAGCGTAGCCAGCGTAGTGTAGGAATGAAAAAAAAACAGATCTAGGTATTGTTGTGTGAAAAAGCCGCGGAGGCCGTCACGCGCAATAATAGCAGCGTAATCGCGCGACGCGAGTCACTCATACATGGTGTCGCAGAAGCGTCGCACGTGATCGCGGGATGGTTACCAACGATGAAATCCGTCACGGAGATGATCGCCCGAGATCACCTCTCCGCGTGCGCGCGCGCGCGCGAGCGCACGAGCGAGATCTCGCATACTATGATGGCACTTACCCGGCCTGCCCAGATCACCAGGGCGATCTACCTTCGTCGAGGAGTCACCGATGGACGCGCGAGCGAGACGGGTAAATGCGGCGGATATAAGTAAGGCGGCGTGATCATGTTTCACGATCGATCTCGCCGATGATACACGATGACGCAGGCATCCTCCACCTCCGGGCTTCGGCCCTGCTCCGATAGATGCGGCGTCACCGAGCGAGCGAGGAGCAACGAGTGACAGGCCGACGGCGGTACCCAAGGGAAAGGGAACACAAAAGTCAACAAAATGATCGAAATCCCTTTATCTTGATTCTTAACGTCGATAAACGGTCAAATTTTGTAATAAAGAATTATCATCTTGACTCTCGTGACGTCAAAGTAAAATCGTTCTGACTTTCTTTTGACTTTTTCTTTCTTCTTATTATGCCCCTGCTTGATTCTTCGACCTAAGAAAAGGTACCATGCGTTGAGTTTTGGAACCCAGATCCTGTGATAACCTCCGTGGAGAGGGGTTAGAGGTTTCACTTTTATTATTCAAATGTCTCTTCTCTTGACTTGAGCCAGCGTGTTCTTTGAGCCAAGGCGACGGAGTCGCTTCGTGTAATTTGCATAAGCACGTGTTTCACCGCCGCACGAATCACGATCAATCGCGGACACCAATACGACGAACACGGAAGTCGGAACTGGAGCGGCGCGGGCGGGATTCCTTCTCGTTGCCGCCGACCGCTTACTGTCAGTGACTGTCGCCGTCGTCACCGTCGCTCC